GTTTGCCCTCCCCTGTGTCTGGGTGACTAATTCTAGACGCAAGCCTCTGAGTGTCATGGTCACCCCTTTGGTACATGGACCACGTCTCTGGTACAACAGACCTACCATCACCCAACTAGCTCCGGTCCCTGCAGTCTCTATGCTGTTCTATCCCTAATACCATGACTATGACTTCTCATGCCATAGTCTCTTGTGAGCCTACCCACAAATGTTGTGGTACAGCTTGTTTTGATTTGGTTCAATGTTGAACCACAACATTTGTAGGTTGGTACACAAGAGGCTTGGGCATAGGAAGTCAAAAACTTGATAATGTAGATAGAAAGAGGATAGAAACAGTGGAAGCTAGAGCTAGTCGGCAAACAGTAATCATGATTCAAGGATCCTGTCTATGTAATAGTGAAGGCAGGATAGGATGATACCGGAAACGCGAATAACCCAGCGTAGAAGTGGAGATAACACAATTGCTTAGCATACGTTTGGTCAAAGGATCGGCTTGAGTTGCCTCTTTACGAGTTGTTGTATGGTGCTAAGAATGGCGATACTCACTGACGATGCCGGCGAAACGTTTGGGAATGTACCATGTCTACGGTTCAACTTTGGAAATGATGATGCAAACAATGGACTCCGGAATAGGTGCGTTCCTCTAAGTCTTCATACTAATATGACCATGTTGCGAAAACAAGATCAAACAACCTCTATACAACGAAATGAGATTACGACCACACAAAGGGCCACACCATCATGGTATTCATACCATCAATAATATTCATTTTAGAAAAGTTAAGTTACTCAATTTATCCATTATATCTATCGATGATAAGGTTGAGTTCCTTTTTGAACGAAGTCTAAGCCTTGTCTTTCCAAATGCTGTGAATCATTTTTCGTTTTATATGTAGGGTTTTGAGCATTGAAGTAATTCAGTTATATGAGATGTATTCACCATATTTCGGTTGAGGAGATGAAGTACTGATAGCTGAATTTTCTCACAATTATATGAGTAGAGTTGAAGCGTCGGATCGTGGGCATTGCACCTTCTCAGACTTTTTATTGGCATCGTGGTCAGCACCATCAGTGAGTCTCGTCATTCTCAGCACCAAGCTACAACTCATGAACGAGAAAAGTGAAGCCAATCCTTTGACCAACTCTGCTGAAACGCTTGTGCTATCGCCACTCTTTCTGTCCTAGTCCCTGTTGCCTCACTGTCGTCCTATCACAACTTCTGACTTATTCATATTCTACTCCTCAAGAGGTGTATCCTTTTACAGAGTTTAACGTGGCGTCGTTACACTAGTTGCTTCCCTTTCCCTCCCTCCCTTTCGAATGGCTGATCCGACTCGGGTCTTGTATCCAAATCTGCCTCAATAGGCCGATTTCACCCCAGCGTATTTCTTACTCCAGGTGCTATTTCTCAAACCTTCAGTAGCACACAGTGTCACCGCACCTGCAGGGCACCTAGGCTCTGATTGACATAGTTGCAGATATTAGGCATTGCCTTCACTGGTCAACCCATTGATTAAACCCGTATATTCTGAGCAAACTATATCGCCTACTACCTCTTGAGTGGATTTCTAGTCAATTTGCCTATACGGCCGAAACGAGGCTGCGACCAAAATAGGGACAACAACATCTTGGTCTTTGTATTTGCGTAAATAACTTTAACCCCATAAATGTGATTGGAAAGAAATTCGAAGGGAAACCTCCATTTGTTCCTTTACCATACACATATCTATCTAATTTGGTTCTTTTGCTAACTAGGACATTTATACAGGGTAAACAACCTTCATTTTATAATTTGACGGTGAACTTTATCTCCCCATCTATTCTGTTCATAAAATCAAGAAGTTTCTTAGGTTTCCTTTGCAGTGTCACTAAACGTCAAAGTAGTCGTCCATATAGCGAACCAATAATTTATAGACTAAATTTTCTTTAGGAATCAGGCTTTCCTCAAGTTCAGTCATGCAATTATTAGCTAACATTGTTGATAAACACCGAATGCTTATTCATATTGTTCACCATTAAAGATAAACTATGTACAATGCATCGCCACGTTGTTTGGTGTCATTATTTGCATTGCTTAACTTCGTACTTCTTAAAATCCCCGGATGTTGGTCTAGTATGTATTGCAGAGCCTGTGGCATTGTCTCCAGCAATGTTAGTATACATAGACTCATCATCAAAACTTACGGGCTAATTCCCTCTATCTTCTGCTCATCGAATGAGTTAGCGAATTCATAAGAATTTTTAACTGAAAGCTGCCACGTCTCGGAGATTTGTTATTACTGGCGCTGAATAAATCGTGATGTCTTATGCATCACGCCACCCTTATTATTCACAATAATTCTAAGTGGGACACAATCTTTACGTATTTTGGGCACACCACATGCACTCGGAGCCCTAGCATCTCGTCGAAAAAGTGTGTTCATCCTCCAATTTTCCAGTTCGCTGTTTTTTACACAGTGATGCAGGCAACCCTTAAGTTTAGGCTTAAGGGTTTATGTAGATTCCCGTATCGTGTATATGTTAATGTCATCCAAAACCTGTATTATTTTTTCCTACATAATTAGACCTACTCATCGCAACCATTTCTCTTTTATCTGCCCTCAACATTATTTGGTCCTTATCACTTAGTTTTATTCTATTGCTTTTCCTTATTATTTCTAGGTGGTATTTCTACATATCTATCATTTAAAGGGATGACATCTAAATTATTATCATTTTAGTGTTTTCTGTGAGATCGTAGGTAAAACTTATGAATTCTACCATTATCTCCTGCCTATTATCCTTCTTGTTTTGCAAAGCAAAATTCAAACATTTGTTGAGAACTTCTTTGGTGTTAACGTTCAATGCTGTTTTGGACAGGTTTGCAACCTCACCAACCTTAATTTTCTCCCTAACGTCTTCCATCAACGTATTTTGATTACTCTGTCTTGATTATGATACTAAAATACCTAAGCTTTTATGTCTGCATCTCATCTGTTCAAAAACTATATCATAGCTTGCCCGCCATTATTTGTAATTTAAACAAATCCTCCAAGCTAAGAATTTTAGCTTATGGTTGGCTTAATATGGTTTTCCTACCTAGCAAAGAGAGTAATGTTATCATTTTCTCTTGAGTCCTATCTTCTCGCTCTTTAGTTGCTCTAACTCAATCGTTCTCATCTTTCCTCTAATACCTAAAACCCTCTTTCTACCTGATTTCATTTTTTTCTTGTTTTAGCTAGAAGTGAGTTATCAAGCAAATCGCGGTTTCCTACTGGGCATTGGTACCAACCCTGATCCCGAGCCTGATCTAGACACAATAGTTATTTCAGGCAGCCATTCTCATCCCGGTTTTCACCACTCCCATCAAGGCCATATGCATTTTGAGGGATTGGGCAATCCGCATTCCCTAATAAGGCATCATTTGGAGGATATTCTAAATACTACCCATTCAGTGCCTCGTATTGCAAAAGTGAGTTTTGTTATTGACTTTTTTCATATTTTATTTCAGATTTAATTTGATTTTGCATACAATATATTCACCTTCATTTTTGAAGGCATGAAGATTAAGATGGTGTGGCCTTTTGTATGGTCGCAGTCTCCTTCGTGGTATAGAAGTTGTTTGGCCTTGTTTTCGCAACCTTGTTTTATTGGTAGGAATATCTAGAGGAACGCATCTAGTCCGGAGTCCATAGTATGCATGATAGTTTCCAGAGTCGGAGCGTGGAGGTGGTACATTCCAAGACGTTTCGCTGGTTGGCGGTGGGAATTGCTATTTATAGCACCAAATTACAACTCGTCTAAGAGACAGGTGAAGCAGATACTTTGACTAATTGTCTGCTAAACAATCGTGGTGACTACTTTTCTGCCCTGGGATAATCACCAATCCTATATCCTCGAATCAAACCTTCACTATTACAATTTTACTTGCTTATTTAAATGTGTTATGGTGTGCCCTTTTAAGCGAGTCTTATCGGTACTCTCCACACTCCACACTGGCTTTCTCACTCCGTCACCCCCCTTCACCCAAGTACTGTGAAAAGAGACTTTGATAGGACATATGGGAGGAGTACTGTGAAACAATATGACACACTCTGATCCACATTCCCAGCACAAGGGTAAAGGGGAATTAGCAGGCGAAAAAGCCAGTGTTGAGCGTGGAGCGTTTCCATGGGATCCGCCTAAAAGGGCACAACATACCACATTGAAATAAGCAAGTAAAAATTGTGATAGTGAAGAGGTGACTCGAGGATATAGGATTGGTGATTATCACAGGGCGGAAGGAGAGTCACCAGGATTATTTAGCAGATTAATGGTCAAAGTATCGGCTTCACTTATTTATTTGATGAGTTG